AATTACTACAAAAATATTTAAATGAAAACTAACTCAATTATAACATCGATTTCAAATCAACACCATGAATAGAAATGCTTTTTTTCCCATTGAACCCCACTATTGTACAACTATATATATAATGGTAATTTAACTGTTAGTATTGTATTTTTGGCTCCGTTATTTATACTCTCCACCATATTATTTCATCCTTCTAATTAAATTATAGCTTATTCTACCTTAATTTAAAGGTCTCAAAATATTGTGTAACTATTTTTAAGTAAATAGAACACGAAATAGAAAGTTATACAATTATTATAAATATAATGTATAAGATTAGGTATAATATTATTATATTTGTGTTACACAATTATTCCTAAAATAAAAGATTTTTGCTAAAAAGGGAGAAGGAGTTTTGGAGAGAAAAAACAGCACCAGAAAGTGACACATGTCAATCCTGGTGTTTGTTTTAGTATTATTTTATTGATTATTGATATGGTCAATTACTTAAAGATTTTATATAAAAAAATATTTAAGCTTTTTTTAACGGCTATTTCACCAAATACCACTGAGTAATTAAAAAATTCACCAAATGCCATCAAGGTTTTCAAAATTCACCAAATGCCACTGACAAAACAGTACAATGGAACCTCGTGCCATTAATTGCATATGGAAGTTAGTTCTCCGTTAATGCGATTCTTATTTCACCAAATGTCATTATTTTAGAAAATTATTTCACCAAATGCCATTACTTTTTAAAATTAATACACAATATACCTCTATTTTTGTAAGGTGTAACGGCTAGTATTTTTTTTGGAAAAACTAGCCCGTTATGTTTGAATCTCACCCAACTTTTTCTATAAATATTACACTCAAAACACTCATAGCAGCCCTAATTGTATAATTATGAGTTTGATATCAAACACATCTTCCTCAGCACATGAGTATTCATATGTGAGAGTTCCAAATAAATTTTGAAAATTCTAGTAGAAAATATGCAATTAGAAGCTCGGAGTCAACCTCAAATACACAAAGGCTTTACTATAAGTGCGATTCATGCAATAGCTTCAAATGGGGCAAAGGAGCTACTAATGAGGTGCTAATCAGGCATCATGATGAAGGTCAAAGTAGGGGAAGCTTTTATGAAATGGATGAGGCAGGACAAAGCAAATTACATGAAGAATTGAAGCAATTGAAGAAGAAGATGAAGTTGCAACAAAAAGTAGTCAATGCACTTATAAAATTAGGGCTAGTTATGTTTGTAATAGTTGTATTTGTAATGATGAAGTGAATTAATGTAATTTCAATGAAATTAAATAAAATGGAAAATTCATTCTGAAAATTAGTTTATGTTTACAAAATGTGCCCAAAATTACAGGTTGATTTAACCATCATTCAAATCCACATCATATGTCCAAAAACAATAGACAACACAACAAACATTAGAGTATTCATGTGCAAAAAATATATTACATATTATGGTCGTGCATTCAAAAGAAATGGGTTATAGTTCATGCGGCTGCCCTTTTCTTCTTGGTTTTAGAGGAGGTGTTTGAAGTGCTTGCTTCACATGGAGCTGCCCTTTTCTTTACAACACACATCAACATGTTATGACCCAACTACTCATTGCAGTTGCTGCACTTATCTGTGCTATGCCTCTTCCCTTTCCTAGCTTCATTTGGCTCTCTTCTTCAATTCTTTGCTTCTTAGGTCTTATGGCAGATCTTTTAACCAGTGCTGGCTGTATTACAGGAAGATTGAATGATGGCCATTGAATTGGGTCAGACATAGGGTGCATGTGCTCTGCATAAGTTAATTTGTATGCACTCCCTTTGAAATAAGGAGACACAAATGCAACAGCTTGTAGCCTTCGGTGGTAAATGACCCTAAGCACATGTTTGCATGGGATCCCTATAATAGCATTTCACTAAATGGCTATTTCACTTATTAAAAAAACGGCTATTTCACTAAATGGCTATTTCACTTATTAACAAATATTGTAAAATTAATTAATCTTTAAATTACATTAGATTATTAGTTTATATTTCTTAATTACAGATTTATATATGGGATAAAAGAAAACATATCTTTAGGATATTTATATTAGGTAGTACTTCATATGTGATAATTTCTAAAATATTTTATATTATAGTAAAAAAATTATATGTGAGTTGCATCTTATGTGGGGAGTATAATTTATACCATAAATAATATATTCTTATCAATTTGTCAATAAAGGTATATAATTTGTCAATTTTGGTAAACGAGTAAAAAGCTTAAATTTGGTATGATATCAAGGGGAATGAACATAGTCCTTAATACTTCATATATTTTTATTGTATTTCGATGTATGTACATAGAAAGGGAACATTTATACCTTAATCAAATTAGTAAAGAAATAATAATATTACATAATCTATCCAATCATGATGATATCAAGGATCTTTTTTTGTCTTTATGGCCGATATTCAGTTTAGCCAATCAGCTATAAATATCCTAAAAATTTTGACCTAGACCAAAGAAATCATCAACTCTATATGAAAATGGAAAAGTTGATGTTGAAAGTTGTTCTTATCATAGGCTTCGCAATTGCTGCAAATGCAAGAGTTGATCCTAGTTTTTCATCCATTAAGTTTAGAGGAAACAATGATCACATTCATAAAAATCTTAGATATATAAACTTGAAGGAAAAAGTGCATGGAAGGCAATCCTTGGAGGAGAAAGATGATACAAGTAAGCTCACCCCCACAGCGAAGAACCGTGCAACATCTCCAGAAGCACCACCTTTGGTAGAGAAAGATGATACAAATAGGCTCATCCCCACAGGGCCAAATCCGGCGACATCTCCGGAAAGTCCTCATTCAAAAGAAAAAAGATGCAACAAATAGGCTCGTTCCCATTGGGCTAAACTCATCAGCAACATCTCCAAAAACACCTCCATCGAAGGAGAAAGATGATAAAAATAGGCTCACCCCTACAGGGCCAAACCCGACGACATCTCCGGAAAGTCCTCCTTCAAAGGAGAAAGATGATACGAATAGATTCATTCCCACTGGGCCAAACCCAGCAACATCTCCATCGAAGGAGAAAAATGATACAAATAGGCTCACCCCAACAGGGCCAAACCCCGCAACATCCCCGGAAAGTCCTCCTTTGAAGGAAAAGGATGATATAGATAGGCTCATTCCTACTGGCCTAAACCCACCCATATCTCCATATTCACCTCCTTTGATTGGGTAGAATACAATAAATAAAAACATCACTTATTAAGAAATCATGTATAAGTTTATATTAGTTTGTTGTCCTATGTATTAAAGAATAAATGGATAAGTTTGATGGAATACTCTACCTAGTACCGATTGATTTTGTTATGCAACAATATTGGATTGGGAGTATGTTATCAAAGTCAGTTCCTATTTAGAATGCAATGCATGCGATAAATTTAAAAATAATTACTTTATTTACTATTATTCAGTTTGTCGCACATATATATAAGAATAAATACATGTTAAAATTAAAAATCATATGAAAAATCGTAATTTAGTGCAAGGATATAAAAACTTTTTTTTTTCTATTGCAAGAGATCAATACCTTCTTTAAAAAAAAATCTTTTTTCGAGCGTGCCAACATCAGGTTTAGGCTTGACAATATTGTAGTATTAACTTATTAAACTGACTAATTTAGGTTTTGTGCGAACGCACGATAATTACTAATAAAATATGAAGTATAAAGAATTGAAATAAGTTTTTTTTTTTTCATGTGCCATTTTACCTGATTTGCTTTGGGACTTGTTATTCATCGCCCGCAAATCTCTACATAAAGCCCACATTTTATAATTTTTTGACAAATTTGCCCTTTTTATAATTTTAACGGAAGATAAATTTTTCGCACTAAAAAAATGTGGAGCAGCACCGGATCGCCGAGGATCACCGGAGAATCGCCGTCGTCATCGGAAAACGAGGTTCGTAACGCATCGTAAGGACGAAATGGTGGCTGGCGCCTAGCCAAAAGGCCATGCCGTGGTTGTGGCGCCTAGCCAGGACGCCGCCACCGTGGTCACGGCGCCTGGTGGAGAAGCCTCGACCATAGTAGTGGCGCGTGGCCAGGACGCCGCAGCCACGGCCAAGGCGCCTGGCCAGGCGCCAGTAAGGGAATATTTTTTTTTTTTTTTTTTTAATTTAATCCCTTTTTTTTTTTTTGTTTGTTTTTGTTAATTTAATCTTGATGTAATTATATTTATACGTTATATGTTATTGTTACAGGATTATGGTGGAGACGGAAATGATTACAGTGGGATTTTTGTACATGATGGCCTGTTCGAAGATGCTCAACAAGCGATTGATTGGGCAAAACAGGTTGCAATTAGATCAGGCTTTTGTTTAGTAGTAGCAACTCATAAATCTCAACGGGATGGTAGAATGGATCGCATTTTGAGATGCGACCGTTATCGCAAAAGAGAAGAACGAGATTTCAGTAAAGCGATTCGGTTTGACTCAAAGCGGAAAGGTTGTGGGTGTCAGTTCCGAGTTAAGGTTCGACAACATCAAAGGCGTGACGGTTGGGAAGTGAAGGGTTACGGCAAATGGGGATATCACAACCATGAGCTGATAGCATACAAAGTGGGGCATCGGCAGTTAAGCGGCCTAAGTCCAGCTGCGAAACTAGTTGTAAAAGAAATGAGTGATGCTCAAGTGAAGCCCGCTAAAATATTAGCGTCTGTGTTAGAGAAATTCCCCGAAGACCAGCCAAACCGAAGACACATCTACAACGTCAGACAGAAATTGAGGTTTGAACGGTCAGAGGGAAGGAACCCTATACAGCAGCTTCTGCACCAGGCACAAGCACGTGGTTACCTTTACTGGTTTGAATCTGACGAAGACACATCGGAGGTAACTCATTTGTTCCTTGTCCATCCTGATTGTGCTGATATGATTTCGTCTTGGCCATCTGTGATTTTGATCGATTCAACGTACAAGACAAACAAGTACAAGTTCCCACTGGTTGGGATGGCTCCAACGAACCAGAACTTTCTGATTGGTTATGCAGTCATGAAGGATGAGACGGCTGCGAGTTACCGTTGGGTGTTGGAAAAGTTGAGAAACTACATCGGCCCAAATGTACAGCCATCGGCCATCGTAAGTGATTGTGAGGGAGGTCTTTTTGCCCCTATAGCGGAGCTGTTTCCGGAGTCGAGCCATTTACTGTGCACATGGCACATCAACAACTGCGTGAAAGTCAAAGCCTACAACCTTTTCAACAAGAACTTAGATTCAGCAGAGAGATTGGTAAATGGTAAGTGGCGGAAGATCCTGCAAGCTACCACGGAGGCAGAGTACGATCGAGCCTTGGAAAACTTAAAGGATGCGTACAAGTGGTGCCCGCCAATCGTAGACTATGTGATGCATCAGTGGGTACCTCAGAGGGAAAAGTTTGTCAAATATTGGACGAACCAAGTTCTTCATTTTGGGAACACTACGACATGCAGAGTCGAGAGCGCTCATAGAGCTTTGAAGGACTGGATTGATTCTTCCACGGCTGCTCTGGATACACTGTTCGAGAGAATAAACAAGGCTATTGATACTCAGAGGAACGGCATCAAGAACTATCTCGAGGACTCCAGACGACGACATGGCATGTTGTATGGCCATTTCATATTTAAGATTCTCCACGGTCGTGTGTCACACCACTGTTTGGGGTTGATTCTGAGCGAGTATACCAGGATGAGGGAGTTGGGCGATGAAGTGGCTATTCGGTGCGGATGTGCTATATCAATGACTCATGGATTACCTTGTGCATGCACCATTCACCGCGTAATTACGCAAGACAGGGCGTCGTTACATGTCGATCAGGTTCATCCATTCTGGCGGACGCTCGTTATCGGAGAGCATGCTGTTCCGCATACGGTTCACCGTGAACAGGAGGAGTTGGAGCAGTTTCAGATGATGTTTGACCAAGTGTCCTCCAGTCACCCTTCGATCATTCGTAGTGCTACACACATACTTCATGACATGTTCAATACATCGTGTTTGGATACCGAGGAACCGGAAGGGGTCGAGCGACCTAGGGGTCGACAACCACGGCGGAACAAGAGTGCGTTTGAGTACATTCGCGGTCGTGGCCGTGGCCGTGGCCGTGGCCGTGGTCGTACATCCTCATCAAGTGGCAGCCAATCATCGTCGTCGGTGAATATGCCCGGCACCGGTAAGACATTCGACTTCAATTTCTTTTGTTGACTGTTTGATTAGTTTACTGTTGACTTGTTTATTGTGTTTATTGATGTGTGTAACAGGGAGAATGGACATTGAACATTTTCCATATAAGGACAGGATCCCTAATATCATGATGCCATTCTTGGACGGGTGGAATGATGTCATTGCAGATGGTAACTGCGGATTTCGGGTTGTGGCGGATGTGTTTCAAATGGGTGAAGACAACTACGGTTTAGTGCGGCAGTTGATGTACAGTGAAATCGCATCAAACCGAGATGTGTATGGCCATGTGTACGGCGAGGACTTGGATAGGTCTCTGCAACGTATCCGGTGGGGAGGGGGACCTTGCGGTCAAAATCATTGGTTCGATGCGCCACTTGATCTCTTTGCCGTTGCAAACATCTACAAGTGTGCAGTCATGCATTTCGGCCTTGGTTTACATAGTCGAGCCTATTATCCATGTACAACGGTTCTGCCCTGGTGTTCGCGCGAGACCGTCACCAGACCGGTAAGGGACGTTGCTATTGGATTTCTTGGGCCGTCATACAGACATTTTATCCGATTAGACATGTCACCCGATTTTCCGGTCCCAAATATCATACCGAAGTGGTATGAAATTCGTAGAGCAAGCGTGGAGGGTTGGGATGCTTTGTACCATGCTCGCGTGCAACAGTGGAACAATTTAATTGCCATGTAGTTTTTGTTGATGTACACCTACCTTTTACTATGAGGCCTTGTATTGTCAATACTATGTCATTTCTATGTGTTCATTTTTAAAAGATAATGTTTCATTTTAAAAACTAACAACAATAATTTCAAATATTACAAACTAAAAAGATAATATTGAATTTTAAAAACTAAGAACAATAATTTCAAATATTACAAACTAAAAAGATAATGTCTAATTTCAAATATCAGTAATCCCTCTGTGACGCCCACTGCCACTGCTCAAGGGTCCGTTCCAGATCGTCAATAACAGCTCTGCCTGATGCACTCGTCATGCAGTCCCTTTCCTCAAAAAGTCGGTGTCCCAACTGCATAATCTTGCCCATCCACTACACAAAACATAAAACATGAAACGACGTATTATACATATATATATTAAAATAAGAGAACAACAAATAAAAGATGAGACGTACCGCATAAGAGGCAGTGGCAGGTGGCACATCGTCATCATCTGCGTCGTCGATGTCTTTGATCAACCTCGGGTGCGAGTGCCGGATGTACCATTCCATGTAGTGCTGGTCACACATGGCAGTCACCCCACTTGGCGGCCGCTGCAGCTCCGCCGTCCATAGGCGGGCAACCATCGGAAACTGCTCCCACATGGATATCATGTTTGACGGCCATTGGACGACGTACTCCTTCGACGACGCAGATCGTACCGCCTTACTGGGCCATGCCGGTGGAGGTGGGACAACTTGGACAAATCCAAGCTGGCGAAGACAGCGCTGCGGCATGTACGCCTCTACGATCTCGCGATACTGAATCAGTCCAGTGTAGAGGGTCCTGGGTACCCTATTACTAGGGTTCTGGCCGAAAGGCATCCAGTTCACCTGCACATTATTTAAAATCAGTAACAGTCATAAAATAAAGCATCAGATTGTAAAAGTAGAAATAATTTAATCACTGTACCTCTAAGGGGGACATCCTGTCAAGCGATAACCGTATGGAGCGCAGGCGGTCAACGGACTTCTTCTCGACACGCGGACTCCACGCACAGGCACGTGGCTGGCCATCACCAATGGGAACCGGGTCGCGGTGTGGTCGAAACGCAGGAAAATACTCGTATATCCAGGTCTGTAACAACGTCAGACATCCAGTGATACCTGCTGCATCAGCCCGGCTCGAGAATCCTAACTGGCGATACAGATACGCCAGCGTAGCCGACCCCCAAGAAAACTGGCCTACTCTGTCGGGATCACACGCGTCAACTATGTCGCGTGGCCTGAGCTTGTTCCCGCTCTTATCCGGAAACAAGGTACACCCGAGAAGAAGAAAAACATATGCAGCCAGCTGTGTGTCCTGCGTCCTACGTGCCGTAGGGTGCAAACATCGCTGCAAGACGGCTGCGATCTTAACGCCGCCGTGATCCCACACACCAAGTGCCGATGTGTACAGCGCAGCCCTATCCACCGCCAACAGCTCCGCTAGTAAATCTGCCTGATCCGCATCAGTGACGACAGATGCTCGGTTTCCCTCCACGGGAATCCCAAGGATGGCCTCGACGTCATGCAACATGATCGTCATCTCACCGAACGGAAGGTGGAACGAGTTCGTATCCGGCTGCCATCGCTCAACGAAAGCCGTGATCAGCGTCCAGTCAATCCTGTCGTGCATGGTGGCAGGAAGGTGACTCACTCTAGTGGCCCTCAATCGCCTGACCATCTCGCTCTCCTCCGGCCAAGCATCAGCCCAGCTACACAAAAACCTACAAGTCTTTTCCCGGGTTTGGCATTTCAAAATGCCTGTATCCAAAGCCCTCTCCTGGTCCTCCCAAATACGGGTAGCGATGTGTCCTAAAAAGCTAGGAATCACACTCCCGTCTATAGGTCCCCCGGCCACCTCACCCCTCACCATCCAAGAATCATTAACGGCCCTCGACCGTTTTCTGCTACCCGCAGACACAGTGGACGCAGATGATGTGCCAGATCTACTAACAAACCTACCATCTCGACCCTTACGCACATCTACCCTATGCGTCTCATACGTATCATCAAGTCTCTGACTGAATGGACCGTAATCATCATATGGTCCACTCTGATCGTCGACATCCTCATCTGCATCATCCTCGTCCTCGACCTCCTCCTCCTCGACCTCCTCCTCCTCCTCCTCATCATCATCATCATCATCTTGATCGTCCGCAGAACAGTGCACCCGTTCTCTGCGGGCCGATGCCGAAATACCACGGGATCTAACGTGTCTGGGCCCCGAGCTCTCCATTGAGTAGATCGTACTCCTCACGACGTCAATACTCTTCCCCGCACCAGGTCTAAATTGCGATGCCTAACTCCAAGTAAATAACGAAACATAATAACGAAAACAAATTAAAAAAAGTCGAAAATAAACACAAAAGCAAATAAACAAGTCACGGAAATAAAATTATAAACATAAAAAATATAAAATTAAAACAAATAAAAAAACAAAATTTAAAAAAAAAAAGATAAAAAAAAAAAGGGAACATACAATTTAAAAAAAAGAAAAACAAATTTTTTAAAAAAAAAAAAAAAAATCGAAAATAAAATTTAAAATTAAAAAAAAACAAAAAAAAAATTTAAAAAAAAAAAAAAAGAACGAAGCGCCTAGGCAAGGCGCCCGTACGGTGGTGTCGGCGCCTAGCCCAGACGCCACTACCACGGCCGTGGCGCCTAGCCTCTGCGCCGCTGCCGTGGTAGTGGCGTCTGGGCTAGGCGCCGCCACCACCGTACGGGCGCCTTGCCTAGGCGCCTCCTCCGTGGTGATGGCGTCTCGCCTTGGCGCCCCACCGTCGCCGGAGGTTTTTTTTTTAAAAAAAAATTACAAAAATTAAAAAAAATTACCTTCTGGCCGGCAAACCGCCTTCCGCCCACCGCCGGTGCCGCCACTTCCTTGCCGGGCCGCCTCGACATAGCTCTGGAAATAATTTAGAGAGAGAAAGTGGAAGTAGAGAGTAGAGAGAGAAATTGTGTGTTTTTTAGTATGAGGGCAAAAGTGTCATTTCACTCTTATTTTGTGGGCTTTATGTAGGAATTTGCGGGCGATGTTTAACAATTCACTTTGCTTTTCGTAGATATAACTATTACGATATGATATACATATGTAATTTTATGCATAAGAATTGTTTTTGTTGTTATTTTCCATTGTCATAAAACTTTTATTTTAAGCCAATGAGAACAAAACTTGTGTAACAACGAATTTTAACAATTCTCTATTTTATAATATTTGCAATTTTTTTTTATTTTTTTTATAGTAACTTTGGGGTTTATTTGTAAAATATATATAAAATATTTCAAAGTTCCAATAATATGTAATAGAGGTATGATTAGATTTTGTTTAAAAATTCTAAAAATATTATATATCACAATTGTTTGATCCACTTAAGTTAAATAAAATATTTTTTTCCCTTAATATTCTCTTCCACATAATAAAAGATATGTTATATATTTAAAGCAAAATTGAGTTGAAATTTTAGTTAAGAAATATGATTGCAAAGTAGAATGAAATAAAATAGATTGAAACGTAACATGTATGTACGTAGTATATGGAATAATATTTATTTTGTAGAAAACTTGACAAACAAATAATTGTAGATTTTGTCAATTTTTTTTTTAAGTAATACTCTTTACTGTATTTTTTAAAAAAGATAGATCATTATATTCCTATAATATTTTTTTTCTAATTTCCTTATTTCAAAAAAAAAAATAAAAAAAAAACCAAAGACACACCATAAGATGACGCGTGTCTTTGCTGGTGTGTCTTTTAGTATATAGTTATTATTATTATTATTATTATTATTATTATTATTATATTATTATTATTATTATTATAGTTATATTATTATTATTATTTTTATAGTTAGTTTCTGTGTCATGCACAGTAATTTTCAATAACCGTTTAAACCATTCATTATAATTAGCTTTTTATATAAAAAAAAATATAGTTGACAAATTTTAATCAAAATAAAATATTACAAAAGATATGTTAGATATAAAATGATATAGAAAATAATATAAATTATGTTAAGAAATTTATTTTTATAGCTATGTAATATTTATGCTAAAGATATGAGATATGTCAAATCTTTTTTTATTTTAATTAATTATATTCTATAAGATTTTTTTTTAATAAAATTTTATTCAACAAAAAAAAAGGACATACCAAGAGATGACATGTGTCATTGCTGATGTGTCATTTAGTATATAGTTATTGATTACTATCAAACAAGAGAAGCTTAGGTCAGTATAGGGTGAACTCCTCACCAATTACAACAAGCCTTGCTTGGTATATATATTACGTACATAATCAGAGTTATTTGTCTTAAATCCAATGCATTGTGCATATACATTGTTAATAAATTGATTATATATAGTTCATCCACAAACCAAGGATTGAACTAAACAGCTGATTTTTCAATTATTCTCATGTATTACACAAAAGGTAGCCTTACTGCTTTAACATATACAGCAGTAAACATATATAATTAGCATTATTAAAATAATACCGGTGGATCATATCATGCATGATCTATTCTTATCTAATTACAAACCTTGAACCATAATTTAATAAGTTTAAGGTTATAAAAAGAGCCAATAAGCTATTAGAATTTGATACGTTGAAGATTAAACAAACATAAAAATCAAAAATGACCCATATAATTTAATCTCAACATGCACCAACAGAAACCTCATCAAAAAGAGAGATTCAATAATAATAATAATCAATTAGAACAACTAATTTAACTAACTGAATTAACGTAGTTTAGAAAATCATCACAACAAAACTTTGATCATCATCATCATTCATTAATTCTTAATTAATTAACAACAACTACAAATTACTCCTTAAAAACACATAGGAGAGATCAGTAAAGTAGCACTAAAACTTCTGCTACATACAAGATCAAAGAAAAACTACTACCTGTACAGAAATAACAAAACATCACATATACTACTACACCCACCATTACAATAATAATTATAATTAATTAGCTTCTTTTTTTTTTTTTTTTTTTTTATCTTGTTGGAAGCCTTAGAAGGACGGCACGACACCGTAACCGGGGTCGGTGGCGAAGAGGCCGTCAACAGAGGCTGCAGAAACCTCG